TTTTACATGGTCTAAAAAGCTGTCTATTTATATAAAATACAGTATATAGAAAGATATAACTAATATGTCTAATATATTGTATATGTCAAATATGTTCGATATGTCATATAAGTTAAATCTGTCAAGTATATTGTATTTGTTGATCATGTCATATATGTCATATATATCAGACATGTTAGAATTGTCAAATCTGTCAGATTTGTCGATCGTTTGCACCACGTAGGTCCTATCATATTTTATCTGTTCACAATATAATAAATCATATGATATATTGACTATTTCGATTTTTCATTTCAATTTTTATTTTCAAAATTAAAATATTTTGACTTTTAGGTTTTCATTTTAACTTTATGTAATATATTTTTTATTTTTAGTAAAAAAGAAAAAAATTTAAATTTTGATTGTTAAGTTAATTTTATACATATAATAAATTATCCAAATTGTCTAAAAAAATAAATTTTGATTTTTCTTCTTTTTTACAATAATTATTTTAAAAAAAATAATTTAATTTTAAAATTAAGTATTATAATAATTTTTGAAAAATTCTTTGAAAATTTATACTAATTAAATTATTTTATCATTAAAATTTATAATAATAAAAGTTTTTCTTTATATGTATAAATTTTATAAATTTATATTATAATTATTATAATTAAAAATAAATTTTTAATAAAATTGTTATAGATTAATTATACTAAATTACAAATTTTTATTTTTTAAGTAACTTTAAAATTTTTATTATATAATTGATTACCTTCTATATATTAAATTATAAATTATAATATTTAATATTTTATAAAGTAATTAATTAATATTTTTTTTTTTAAGCTTGAAGCCAATTTACTTGCTAAATAATCTAAGATATAGGTAATAAATATAATTAAAGAAATAATAAAAATCAAAATAACTTTTTTTTAAAAATTAAAATTTCTAGAATTAAAGAATTCCGAAAATAAGCACCACCTTTTTTTTGTTATAATGGTGCTTATTTTCGGATATGTATTCTTTTTACGATATCTTGTGATATAGTGATCACATAATAATGATATTTAACTCATTGAATTCGTCATGATGAGAGAAATCAAATGGTATTATTTCATGGATATTGATCAAGTTGCTGACACGAATTGCTTATTTATATAAATGTGATAGTGCTTATTTGCTGGTAGGGCTTATTTTCGGAATGGTACGGTATATACATTTTAAATTTTAAATTAAAAATTAAGATTCAATAAATATTAATAAATATTTGTAATTATGTATAAATTTTAAATTAAATAATACAATTAATGTTAAATAAATATTAATATAAACAAATTTTTTGATATAAAGTTTAAAAAAAAAAAAATCATATTATTTTATTATTATAGGATTCAGATCAAAACATTATATATTTTATACATTTTTTGATAATGATCTTTTATTATTAATGCTATATAAGATATATTGAAAAATCTAAATACTTGAAATCATGATATCTTGAAATTTATTGATTAAATAAAACCTTAATAGCTTTTAAATATAATAATAAATACAGAAAAATTAAACCGATAGAGGGAAAGAGACTTAAAGTATAATTTATCGGATACTGTATATGTTATATATTAATTAAAGAATAAGAAATTTCAAAAAAAAAAGATCGTTTAAATTATTTACTAATGAGTGGCCGACCTTATAGTAAACTCATTAAAAAATGGCCAATCAAACTTTTTAATAAATTACAAATAAATTATTTATCATGTGATTTCAGATTAAATTCGACCAATCAGCAGTTTACATTTTCTACTTAAAGCTAATTATGAAAAATATATAAAAAATCAAAAGAAAAAAAATATATTAATTTCGTTCTTATATAATATATATATATATATATACGAGGAAATGTGTTAAAATATACACATTTGCATTTGCTAATTCAATTATTCCTTAATTTAAAAGGCATTTATAAAACAAAAAAAATTGAAACGAAAGCAAGTAAATTATAAATGATAAAATGACAATTTTTTTTATCCAAAATATAATAATATAACCAGGTAAAAACCTACATACACAACTAATAGTCAAATTTTTTAATCCTTCTCTCGTACCCGGATTTAATAAAAAAAATTTCACCACTTTTTTTTTTTTCTTTTTTTTTACCCTCGCCTGGAACTCTGGGGAATATTAGAATGGTTATTGCCAAACCAAATCACTGCTGATTTCGTATGTTGATATGCTTTCATTAGATAAGGTGGAACGCTTGGGTTTCCTAAAATCTTTCTATCCAGGGATTGCGTAACAGTATCAAATACTTCCCGAGTGTAAGGATTCATATGATATCTCACGCGGAGGAAGATAAAATAACTCAATAATATAATCAATCCAAGCTGAAAACTATTTACATATTAAAAAGATAATTTTGAGTTAATAAAAATAAAATAAAAATAAATAAATAGAGATTGAAAATTTTGTTGCAAAATCCTTAAAGAAAAAATAAACGTACGTTAATATATTAAACAGTAGAAATGATGTGATAACTACAACTTCGACGAAACTAACAATCTTCATGGCTTGATCGTAATTATTATGCACCCATGCTTGAATATACTTTGAAGTTCTGTTGACCCATTCATTTTGTGCCCCCGGAGGACCGGAAGGATGTGGTGGAGGAAAGAATGTTTGAAGAATATTTGTTCGGAAATATGTAATGAAATGGAACAACGAAAATGTTGCATATGGGATGAGTGTGACTTTAAGATGGAAATCAGGACGAAATAAATTTGAATATTTAATAAGGTTGCAACACTTTATATTTAAATAAAGAAACGCAAAATTCATCATTATTAACTTACCGAAAACCGGTGTACTCATAAACCACATGAATGCTAGCATAAGATAAAATATATTTTCGTCTTTGTTGATCTTATAGAAATATTCCCAGTTAAGCCGAGGTGTCTAAAAGGCGATGAAAATTTAGTATAAATAAATAATCTCAGTCTTAATGTATTTCAAACTAATTTATTACAATGTTTACAATGTTCAACTTGTAAAAATAAATGATGCTTAAATCTTTTGATCTAGATCATCATTCTAATATGATCGGTATTATTTTCCCCAACCCCCCTTTTTTTTCTTTTTTTAGAAAAAAACAAAAAGAAGTTAAATTTTGTGTAAAATCAACTCACGCCGTATGATTTATAAATGACAACACCATAGCTCAACATAGCTCCCAAATATGCTACATGATAATAATTTACTCCTTCGGACGAACTAAAAGTGATCCAGGACCAAAAATAAAAAAATGTACAAAAAAGCACAATACAATGTCCACACCACCAAAAGAATTGAGGGTGCTATATAAAAGCATAAAGACCATAATTAGTATTAACATCAAAAAGTACCTCGCGTAAGACTTTCTGAAATATAACAACCAGTTACCTTTGCAAGTGTCCAAACACGGTTTGCGAGAGGCTGTTTTGCCATTCTATTTTTTATAAGGCCAAATACCTGTCACTAAATCTCTGATGACTTGTTTTTTTAAAGAACAGATAAATTTAGGGAAACTGTATGTGAACAGAATATAGGTTTAAAATCATCAACTATATAGCACAGATTTGGCAAAATCTGGAAACGTCATCGGTACTTTTCACATCCCCAATTAATTTTTGGCTGTTGTCCTACCGAACTTGTAACAAAAAATTTACTTTAAATTGTTGATACTTTTAGTCATTTTTTGTATCACTACTTTCATTTTAAAGAGAAACAACAATGACACATATTAAACGTTTGTATCATAAACAAAAAAGAAGAATGGTTCTTTTCCCACAATTTTAATTTTCGTGTCGTCAATATGATAATATTTTTAAATTACATTTTGAAAAATTCGGTAAAATTTTTTAATCGCACGCCATGAGGCGTGTGATTCGAAATTCGGTCATAGATTTAGTTGCATGAGTTGCATGACTGATTTACCTTGTCTTAAACCTCATAACTAGAATCATTTCTATGTTTCCATAATTATTAAAGAAGACAAAACAATAAAACTAAAAATATGTGGGGCCTTTGCAATAGAAAGGGGGGAAACTGCCGGGAAAAATCAATTTTACTTTTATATGCCAAATATGATTTTTATGCTGAAATATGTTCAAATTTAGCATTAACTCACTTTTGATTTTTCCGGCTGTTTTCCCCCTTTCTATTGCAAAGGCCCCATGTAATCTTGATAAAAATTCATATTTTTAGATCATCGGACAAAAAGAAAAATCTATGACGAAAGCGGTAAAACCCAACCTAAAATTGGTGAACAACGGAAAATAATTTAGCAAGGATGTTATCAAATATCTTTTTATCTATCCCTACTATAGGTTTCGAATTGCTTGATTCCTATTCTTTTAACCTAGTATTAATACGATGTACTATTTCCCAATTTCTGAATAGGTTATTTTTTAAATATCAAATTTTTGTTCTATGAAGGCATTGGTATGTCCAAGAAAAATTAAAAATTATTATATGTTGTAATGTTCTATGCTTCGCTTCCGGATATTAATACGTTTCAAGAATCTTATTACGCAATCATTAATAATTACAAAAGTATTATTGCTTACATAAAATACAAATTTTCAAAAACTTACCTGATATACAAATATTTAATCATTCTTTACATTAATTGAAAATATATATAACTCCATACCTTTAAAGATGTGAAGGTAAAGTTAACACTATACTTCTTGCATGCAAAGCTAATAGAACCAAATTACGCATTTCAAATTAAAAAATATATTATTTCTAATGGATTTAATTTCTTTTTTCAATTTCTATAGAATTTTCTATGATTTTTCTTTATTTAGTTAGATATTCTAATCTGACTTTTAGAAAACAAAAAAAAAATTACCTTAGACTAGTTTCTTAGTATTTAATGAAAGGTCTTATATCATTATATATATATATATAAAAGAAGAATTTTTAGTTTTTTCTTAATATTTTCACATACTTAAATTGTTTTTATAAAATTGATTTATTAAAGCAAAGCTTCTATTTTATTTATTATTTTGATAATATAAAAATTAATATCACTTTTAGAATCAGATAAGTTTTTAAACTAATTATAAAAAATAAAACTATTATTTAATAAGATGTAATTAATATCTGAATCTAAATTAAATCTAAAGTATTAAGATTAAATTTTTTAAATTTACTTCTCTTAAAAGTAATTACAAAAAAAAATTATGCAATAATTTATAGTAGATAAAACTAATATATCTGCTTCTTATAAGTATTCTTATTTATTTAATTATAATATAAATAAAAATATAATTTTTTATAATTCTATATTAGAAAATAATTATTTATTATCTGAAGTTAATTGTAAAATACTTTATAATTTTTATCAAATTTATAATTTAATTTTAATCATTTTAATTTATTAGTATTTATAAGAATTAAATATTAAAAAAAACCAAATAAAAAGATAATACTTTAGCTTGAACTAATAATAAAATTTTTATCTTAATCAATCCTTTTATAATATTATCTTATGATTATAAAACTTTGTTTTCATATAAATATTATAAATATAAGTTTTAGCAGATTATCCCTTTTTAAAATATTAATCAAATTAATTTATGAAAAATTTGTAAAAATCTTAATAAAGAATTTTAATAAAATGTATTAATTTAAATAAAATTCTAATATAATCTATATTAAAGATATATAAAGTCATAATTATAATCATAAATTATTAATCTTTAATTTAAATTAAAATTACTTAACTGAATATACTTTTATAAAAATTATTTAAAAATAATTAATTTTAATAAGTATTTAAACTTTATATAAATAATTTTAAGTAACTAAATAAATTAGCTAAACTTAAGACCAGAAGTAATAATAATAGTAAGAAATCTATATTAGTATTTGAAATGATTAATGTTAAATTAATAAGCTTATATTTTACTATAAATTAATATTTTTTTATATTTTTAAATTAAATATGTTTTTAGTTATAATATTTGCTTTAATTTTATTATTTTAATAGTTATATTATTGTAATTTAACTAGCAATATTTAAATTATCTATAATTTCTGATTAGCATTTTTATATTAATTCAATATAAGTAGATCTATATATTAATAAAATAATAATAATATATTTTATTTTTTTTTTAAAATATTGTTATTCAAGAGAAATGAAATATAGCAAATTAGTGATCAAAAGTATAATTCAAAAAGTATAACTAAATATTTATTATCAAGAATTTATAGTAAGTAATCATATAATAAAAATATAATTATAGATTGTAATATTAATCATTATAATTATCATTATAATATAGTATATCATATTAGGCCTTTGCAATAGAAAGGGGGGAAACAGCCAGAAAAATCAAAAGTGTGTTAATGCTAAATTTGAACATATTTCAGCATAAAAATCATATTTGACATATAAAGTAAAATGAATTTTTCCCAGCAGTTTCCTCCCTTTCTATTGCAAAGGCTCTATATCTAAAATTAGAAACAATATGATAATTATGAAAAGTATTGTGTTATAGTTAAAGTATTAATAATTATTATATAATCATAATATAGTAATTATATTATCTTTGATAATAAGTAGCAATAACTATTAAAAAATATTATTCTAAAGTTTATGATATAACAAACATAACTTCTTACTTGAAAATAAATGTTCTATTTTTTTGAATAATAATATATATATTTAAATATAATTTAGTAATTAATTATATAATTTAATATTTAAAATATAAATAAAAAAATTTTTTTTAGTCTGAAGTATAATGAAAACTATTAATATTTTTTGTTTGGATTAATTATATCAATTAGATTCCTCAAAAGTAAAAAATTGAATATTAAAATAATTTGATTTGATTTGATTTTTTTAAATAAATTAAATTAAATCAAATTGAATTGAATATTTGATTGAATTATATCAAGTTAAATTAAATATTTAAATATTGAATTGAATTACAGAACCCTAATCATAATGTTTTTTTTACTCAAATTATATTCTGTTATATTTAATACTATAATTATAAATTATAATATAAGAAATAATACATAATAAATTATAAATATATTTTACAAAAATTAATTATTATATATGTATTTCTAATATAACTGATATAATTAATATATGAGAGGTGATCAGTAGAAAAGATGAAAATTCAAATTTTGGTCAAAATTTATATTATTGGATTACTTAGCTAATCACAATCATATATACAAATTTAGCTTAATAATAAAAATTAACAAAAATTTGGATTTTCTCTTTTTCTACTGACCATCTCCTATATTTAAAATAGCAAATACAAATTAATTATTAACTTATTATATAAATTAAATATGTTATTATATATAGATTTCTTTATATAAATAAAATGGGTTGTAAATTTTAAATTAATAGAATAAAATTTTAAAACTAAAGTTTTAATAATTTTATTTTTTTTATTGTTTTTAAATAAATATTTTATTATTATTAAAAACTTGTTTTTATTATATAGTTAACTCTCTTTACAATTACTTTCTATATAATTATATTATATAAATCTTCTATTATAAGCATAATTTTATAATAATTAATTCCCATTTATACTATATAAAAAACTACTTCTATAATCATAATATTTTTATAATCATTGTAACCCAAATGATCTTCGAAAAATTATAAATGTAACGCAGTAAAATGATCTGCAAATGATCATCATGAGAATTGATCTGTAAGAATCAATGACACAATAATCGGCAAAAGATGATCTGCGAAATTAACCAAATCGGTTAATGAAGAAATAAGGTAATAGATCATTAGCCCATGACGACACGCGTAACCTTCTAAACTAGAAACTCCAAATAGGAACTTCAAGGAGAAAC